GTGGGAAATGTTGAAAGGTTATCTCTTCAAAGTGTGGGAGCAACGTCAGTACATGCTCTTTGTACGGGATGAGATTCAGATGTTTTGTATCCCAATTGCCTTTGATATGACTTATCACCAAATCGGAATCCACAAATACACTCAAGAACTTGATCCTTAGGTCGATGGCAGCTCGAAGACCCATAATACATGCTTCATACTCCGCCATGTTGTTGGTGCAGTTGAAACATAATTGGGCAGTGAACGGAGTATGACAGCCCTCGGGAGATATGATTACAGCGCCAATGCCATGGCCCAATGCGTTTGAGGCTCCATCGAAGTACATAGACCATCGGGATCCTTCCTCAGGTCCTTCATCTGGTCCAGGTTCTTCACAGTTGATTACTAACATGATATTCTCATCCGGGAACTCAAAATTAATAGACTGGTAGTCATCCACCGCCTGGTGAGCCAAATGATCAGCCAACACACTCCCCTTTATTGCTTTTTGGGTTGTATATTAGATGTCTTACTAAGTTAAGATCATTTGCCACCTTGATATCCTTCTGGAGAGAGCAGGCTTCTCGAAAATGTATTTGATCGGATCCATCTTTGATATCAACAAGGTAGTGTGAGTCAGCATATACTGTCTCAGTCGACGAGCAGCCCATGCCAAAGCGTAGCAAGTTTTCTCGAGCAATGAGTATCGTGTCTTACAGTTGGTAAACTTTTTGCTAAGGTAGTATATTGCATGCTGTTTTCGACCAGACTCATCATGCTGCCCCAGCACACACCCCATCGAATTGTCTAGCACTGTCAGGTACAAAATCAAAGGTCTCCCTTCAACTGGAGGCATCCGAATTGGTGGTTCTTGCAGGTATTCCTTGATACTTTCGAAAGAAGTTTGGCATTCATCATTCCACTTTACCACTTGATCTTTCTTCAGAAGCTTGAAGATCGGCTCACAAGTAGCAGTCAGATGTGAAATGAACCTGGCGATATAATTCAGGCGTCCCAAGAAACCTCTGACTTCCTTCTCTGTACAGGGAGCTGGAATTTCTTGTATAGCCTAAGCTTATCGGACCTTACCCCGAAGATGCACTTATTCGGATTCAACCTCAGTTTGTATGTCTTCAACCTGTCGAACAAGTTTTGTAGATGAATAAGGTGCTCTTCCTCAATCTGAGACCTGGCTATCATGTTGTCGACATAAACTTCGATCTCATGGTGAATCATATCGTGGAACAAAGCGACCATGGCCCACTGATAGGTTACCCCAGCATTCTTCAACCCAAAAGGAATCACCTTGTAGTAGAAGGTTCCCCACTGTGTAACGAAAGTTGTCTTTTCCATGTCTTCAGGAGCCATCTTGATCTGGTTGAAGCCAGAGAAACCATCCATGAAGGAAAAGATTTTGTGTTGCACGGTATTGTCAACCAGAACATCAATGTGGGGAAGAGGGAATTCATCCTTGGGGCTTGTCCTGTTCAGATCTCTGTAATCCACACACATCCGTACCTTGCCGTCCTTCTTAGGTACCGGAACGATGTTAGCAACCCACTGCGGGTAGGAGGTGACAGCTAAGAACCCTGCGTCGAACTATTTCATGACCTCTGCCTTAATCTTCTCTGACATTTCATGGTGCATACGGCGGGCCTTCTGTTTAACCGAAGGATAGTCTTCTTTTATCGGCAGGAGATGTACCACAATATCAGTGTCCAAACCAAGCATGTCTTCATAGGACCAGGCGAAGATCTCAATGTAGTCGTGCAACATCTGTATCAGTCGTTGTTTGACATTAAACTTCAGATTCGCACCTACTTTAACCTCTTTTTTGTCTATCTCTGTGCCTAAGTTTATTGTCTCAACTGGCTCTTCATGCAGCTGTATAGCCCTCTCTTCCTGTTGTAGCAATCTAGCAAGTTCTCCAGGTACCTCACAATCGTCCTCGGCTTGGTTGATCAGATTTTCGAAGTCATAACTTGTAATAGCAGGATTGTTATCATTGGGATCCAGAGTGGATAGGGATCTGCAGTTTGATATGGGAGTGTGTGTAAGAGCATAGCTGTATTGATAAAGCAAAGGCAAAAAAGAAAAATAGAGAGTGCAAAATTTATATGCAAAGAACGTCCAATGCTTCATTGATGATATATGAGATGACATATAATAACCCTCACAAATAGAGCCATCGTGCCTAGGGTAAGACACCGGGCTATAAAGTTTAAATTGTTCATTACAAAATTAGAAAACAAGTAAGACAATTACTGCGGAACAAAAGAAACTGGTATGAAATCTCTATTCGTCCAATTCCTTGGTCCACCGTTGGTAGTCGGGTAAATCCAACTGTCAAATTCAGAGTCTTCCTCATTGTCTTCAATAGCATTGGCCCCTTGATTGTTGATGCATAGGGGAGGTCCTCCAACTCGAGCGCGTCGAACATCCCTCTGAGCTCCTGAAGTAAAGCCTAAACCAAACTTGTCAGCTTTGTGAATATACTCAGGAAGTTGCCCCTAATTTGTATTCCTGCCTTCTTCAACTACTGCTCTTGCATCCTTGAGAGAAGCCATCTTCAGAGGAGGTTTGGTGCTGGTAGTGGTCTCAGTTGATGCCAAAATCTGGGGAACCTCTTCAAAGTTTTGACAAGGAGTCTCTATAAATTCTCTGTCCATCTCTACGTAGCGGAAGGAATTGAGGTGACTCACCATATATTCTTCCTCACCCCGTACTATGATAATCTTTCCTTTCACTGGATACTTCAGCATTTGGTGGAGTGTGGAAGTAACAGCTCCAGCTTCGTGGATCCAAGGACGACCCAACAAACAAGAGTATGATGGCATGATGTCCATCACATAGAAGGTGGACTTGAAAGTCTGAGAGCCTATCTTGACAGGGATGTTCACTTCCCCATGCACCATTCTTTTCGACCCATCAAAATCCCTTACCATAATGTTACTTGGCTTTAAAGTCAAACCCTCGCAATCCAACTGGTCCAATGCCTTCTTCGGCAGAACATTCAGCGAAGACCCAGTATCCACCAACACTTGAGCCATAGTGGTGCCCCTGCATTCAATAGAGACATGCAGAGCATCATTATGCTTTCTTCCTTTCGGTGTCAAATCTGTGTCTGAGAAACTCAGCCCATTGTCGGTGGTCAGGCTAGCCACGCAATCTTTGAATTGATCAGCTGAAGTCTCTTGCGGCACATGCGCAGTTTTGAGGAATGCAAACAAAGCCTTCGCATAGGCCTCGGAGCACAACAACAGGGATTACATGGATATCTTTGAGGGGGTCTGCCCCAGCTGTTCGACCATGTTGTAGTCACTCTTTTTGATTATTTTCAAAATTTCCTCTATCTCTTGCTTAAAGGCTTCCACAACAATTTTCTTAGGCGCCTCCGTCCGGGTAGGCTCACCTATAACTTCTTTGCTGCGAGTATCAGACGACTTATCGGCAGGGGTATCAGTTGGAGTAAGAACAGAAATAGTAGCTGAAGTACTAGCCGGTGCAGAAGGTGAAATAACGACAGGCTTAGTGACAGTCTGCGGGGAGATCTCAGGAGAGAAAACCCTTCCACTTCTAGTAATCTTACTGGTCCCGACAATGTTACCGACATCAGGATCAGCTTCTTCGATTATCAAGTTTTGTTTAACGCCATGATAGTAAACATCGGCGCCATAATGCCAAGGGACAGCTTTGTTCGAGGCGTACGGGATAGGACCAGGACATGTGATTATCAACGGAGTGATTCTCGTACCAGGAAGTGTCATTACATAGCAAGTGTTCACAAGCAATTTGACCTATTTTGCCATTTCTCGAGTCAGATTTCAAAAATTCATAACTTCTTCAAATTTCGACATTTTTTAGTGGTTCTTTTACATATGATTCTCCTTGACAACATCTACAACTTTTCTTTACAAGTCAAGAGCTAATTATTTTTGAAATGCCACGAAAGAATGAAAACGTTAGAAGTCGCTTTATGAATTTAATGAAATTTGATCATGTCTTGTCCAACCTTTACCAAATCGTGCATAGCGCATATTTTTTCGTCTTTTATTTATCATTTTTGTCTTATTTGAAAAAATCTAAAAAAATATGTATTTTAGTTCATGTCACTTTTTACTATCGCATTATTAGAAAAAATCACAAAAATATTTATAATTAGCATTATAGTATTTTAAATTCGCAATTCTTAATTCAAAAAAATATAAAAAATTATTATAGTTTTATTGGTTTCATTTAGATTTTTATTTTAGTATAGTAATCCAAAAAATCTCAAAAAATATAGTTAATATCTTTTTCCTTTATTTTACATTTTTTTATTCTTTTTGGTCATTATAGTTTTAGCTTCTTTTAATCCAATAATAATTTTGATTTGATTCTAATTTATTTCAATTTTTAAAATTGAATTAATATTAAAATAAAAATAAAAATAATTTTGTTTGCATCTTATTTTTATTATTATTATTATTATTCTGTTTTGTATTACTAACAAATTGCCTTTTATCATTATTATTACTATTGTCTTTGTTTTATTGTTTTATGTCCAATAAAGTTGTGGTCCCAAAACAGATTTTTTGAACTTGCAAAACCAGTCCATATCCCTAAACCTTCTATAATTTTGTTGTTGCCCATAACCTGCAAAGACTCTGCAAAAACAGTCAAAATGCAGCCCACAAAACAACGAAAAACTTGTTGCTACAATGTTGTTCATAAATCTGCACAGCTGCTGTCCAAACCTGCATATCAGTCCAAATAATTTGCACCAAATAAGCAACACAAATCCTGCATTAGAAAGAAAAATCAGCATACCATATATGTCCAAGACTCACCAATTTTCCCCCCAAAATTCATTCTGATTCACTATACAAAAAGAGCAATACATAGATTAGAGGCAGAGAGAAAAATTGTCTGTACAAAAAGGCAGTGACTTCCTCCAACAAATGCTACATACTTCATGAGGATCCTTCAAATGCCAACTGGTGAAACACGATCCATTTAAAATTCAAACCCCACCCAAGTTCCTACACTTCACACACATCTCCAAGATTACCATTATCTTCAATTTCTTTCAATCCTTCTACTAATCCTGCAAACCACAATAGCAACTTGATTCAATCATTATGTAAACAATGCAATCTGAAACAAGCTGTTAAAGCTTTGTACAGCAAGATGAACCCCACCTCACAGACCTTCGCTCATCACTCTACTACCTTTCGTGCACCCTGCTTCACTTCAATCATCAACTTTCAGAACATCATCAATCATTCAATATGCAAGCTCGTCTTCAACGATTCAAAATCATTACATTAAATTATAATAACTTTTCATATCTGCTAGATCGAATCACATAAACCTGCAACACTCATATCATCATCAAATTTGCAGCGTACACACCACAGTTCGGAAGAAGATGTTTCGAACGACATACCTAAAATGTTCAGAGAAAAGCTCATCTTCTGGAACTGCCGACTTGTGGAGCGTTTGAATCACAAAAGGTTTATTGTCTCCTTTGCGTTTTTCATTTGCCTTGCTTAATTGTGTGAATTCTTCCATAGTTTGAATAGGGAAACAACATAAAGTAGGAGAACCACCGTGAGGGATGATATTGTTGTTGTCATGAACTAAAAAAAAAGGTTAGGAATGTTATAATTGAGACTAAGATGAAAACATAAATTAGGATCGGTACAGAGAGGATCAAAGTTTGAGTTGTTATTGTTTTCTGTTTATTTCACTATCTGATAAGAAAATTGGTGAGATGTTAGAGAATGAAAGCAAGAGGAAAAGAGTGAGATTGAGAAACCTGCAGAAATATGAATAGAGAAGAAGAGAGAGTGTACAAATTACGTTTCACTACAAGACCATAGGAAATAGAAGCGTTTGGGAAATTGACAAAAAATAAATTTAGATCCTTTACCTTCCTGATACATCCTTCGGCGCCTCTTTTATTCCAAAGTTAGGGTTCCAGAAAAGCACCCCCACTCCCTCTTAGTAACCTGGATCTGGGTTTGGGCCTAGCCCAACCTATTTCGCAATTTTTGTGTTTCATAGTTTTGATTAAGAGAATATAATGAATAAAAGATTTGGTGTAGTGGTTGGAGCATGTGTGTGAAACACATAAGTACATGGGTTCAATACCTATGTGAAGCAAGATTGTTTTTTTTTTTACTTTATTTGTTTTTATAGTATTTTTTGGGCTTCAACTCAACCAATTCTTTCTAAGCCCATTTGAAACTGTTATCTCCACCTCTAATTTTCTGTTTCACACCTCCTTTTATTATTAATATGATTTAGATTTTAATTAGTAATTTTATAAGGAATTTAGTTTATATTTAAATTAGTTTAGATATAATTTATTAATTTTAGAGCTTTAATAAACTTTAGAATTTTTATTTGATTTAGATTTAGTTTAGTAATTCTACATAATTTTATTTGATTTAGTTTAGTAACTTTGAAATTTTTATTTGTTTTAGCAATCTTAGGATTTTAATTTATTTTAGATTTAATTTAGTAATTTTAAAATTATAATTTAGTTTAGATATAATTTAGTAATTTTAGAATTGTTTTTGTAACCTTAGAATTTTAATTTGGTTTAGGTCAAATGTAGTAATTTAGTTTCACTTATAATAATATTTTTTTTCTTAACTTTATTGTTTTGTTTAATTTAATTTAGTAATATTTTGAATGTTAATCTTTATTTAGTTTAGTTGCAAACTATAAAATTTTCATTTAGTTTATTTAATTAACTTAAGAGTTTTTTTTTCTAGAATTAATTTTAGTAATTTTTACAATATTATTTAGTTTAGAATTATTTTAGTAACTTTAGAAGTTTAGAATTACTCTTGATAACTTTAAAATTTTATTTGGTTTAGATTTAATTTAATTTAATTTAATTTAATAACTTTTAGAATTTTATTTGTTTTAGAATTTTCATTTGATTTAGATTTAATTTAATAACTTTTGAATTTTTATTTGATTCAAATTTAGTTTAGTGATTTTAGAATTTTATTTGATTTAGAATTTTCATTTAATTTAGATTTAATTTAGTAACTTTAGAATTTTTATTTGATTTAGAATTAGTTTAATAACTTTAAAATTTTTATTTGATTTAGAATTAGTAACTTTAGAATTTTCATTTGATTTAGATTTAATTTAATAGCTTTTGAATTTCTATTTGATTTAGATTTAGTTTAGAATTTTATTTGATTTAGAATTAGTAACTTTAAAATTTTCATTTGATTTAGATTTAATTTAATAACTCTAGAATTTTTATTCGATTTAGATTTAGTCTAGTAACTTTATAATTTTATTTGATTTAGATTTAATTTAATAATTTTAGAATTTTTATTTGATTTAGAATTAATTCAATAACTTTAGAATTTTATTTGATTTAGATTTAGTTTAATAACTTTAGAATTTGTATTTGATTTAGATTTAGTTTAGTAGTTTTAGAATTTTATTTGATTTAGATTTAGTTTAGTAACTTTTGGAGTTTTTATTTGTTTTAGATTTAATTTAGTAACCTTAAAATTTTAGTTTAGTTTAGATTTAATTTACTAATTTTAAAATTTTAATTTAATTTAGATTTAACTTAGTAATTTTAGAATTATTTTTATAACCTTAGAATTTGTAGTTAGTAGAATTATCTTAGTAAATAATCTTAGAATTTTAATTTAGTTTAAATAACTTTTTTTTAGATAATTAGTTACATTCTCTATTATTTGTATTTAAATATCTCTGTCATTTTAATTTTCCAGTGCCTTTTGGTCATTAATCTGTTAAGTTAGATTTATTTTCCTGTGAATTTTCGAATGCTTATATTTTGATGTCCATTTTATTCGCTCGATGTATTCCAAGGGAAAGAATCAAATTTATTGACTTCATGTCATTGAGCATCTGATACGATTGTGCGAGACCCTTTCATACATTTTACTTTTTGTTAAACATAAGTTAAATCTCCAAAAAAATGAATTTTTAAACTTACCCTCTTTTAAATCAAAACCTCGATATTAGGTCGTTGTATTTTCAAAATCTCGTCCACACCCATTTTGACCAAACAAACCATTTTAACCAAACAAACAATTTTAACCAAAAAACGGATATTTCAAAAGGTTCCTGTGGAGTACCGCAGATGCATTGGGTGCTAATACCTTCTCATTGCATAACCAACCCCCGAACTTTAGATCTCTTTCAAAAAACGCATCGTATTTTCATTACTTTTAAGTATTATTTTACATTGCATATTTTAGGGTTTTATTTCGCTCTTTTCCCTTTTCCCTTGGAAATGATAAAGCGCGGTGGCGACTCTTGCTATTTGTGAGTCAAGTTAATTAATAGCTTGATCTCTGATTTTCACCGCTACAGAAGGCAATGCAAGATGTCTCCCAGTATGGTAGGTACAGGGTTGCGAGAGAGAAAGACTTTGATGGTGTTAATATCTATGAATTGGTCCGAATTGGGGAACAGAACTAAACCATAAATGAGAAGAGCCAGGATGTCTTCGAAAGCTTGGAAATCCATGTTGTCCCAGAATGATCGAGCCTTCTCCAATAGAAACTTGTCTAGGAAACTTTTAACCTCGCTTCTTGTCTCCCAATTGGCTATGATGTCGGCTCTCTTTATATGCAAAGCTTCGGCGATGACTTCAGGTTTTAGAATCCCTTCTAGACCGGTGAAAGGTATCTGAACAAGCACGGGCACCCCTAAGAGTAGAGAAAACTCTTCCAGTGTAGGTACCAACTGGTAGTCCGGGAAAGTGAAACAATGATGTACGGGATCAAAGAATTGGAACAGTACACACATCATCTCTTCTTAGAAACTGGATGTAGCCAAACTGAGGAGTCAACTGTATTTTTTGGTAAAAGGAGAATCCCCGGGCACTCTTGAGGCTAACTCTTGAAGCTGAGGGTGTGCTTTTACAAAGTTGATTCGGATGGTGTTCCTCCGGGCGGAATTCATGACCTACACAATAAAAACAAAGATAAACTTCTAAATCCTTGAAATGGTTAGTGAGATGCTCATGATGCTTATGATGTTTATGATATTATGTCCACACAAGGAAAACAAATCCCTATGTTTTATGCTTGCATGAGGTTTTATAGGTAAGTACCCTCTTGAAGTTTAGTTGGCTCAACCTGTCCTAGTAATAGTGATCGGGTTCTAAAGGATCTCAATATCACCGACCTTTCCCTTAGGCATTGTCTCAGCACAATCAATCTTTTCTTGCGGCCGAGATATCCCGAAAGTCCAACCTCAATGAGTGTAGTATCGAGTATCAACCAATTTTCAGCTCTACACCAAAACCGATTATCTCACTACGTCCTAATGGCCAAGTTTATTCAATTAGGGTTCTAAAGTCAGTTAGTGCTTCATGACGCCACTCAGCGGCACCGTATTCTCCTCGATTCACCATAAGGGATACCGGTACCCACAAATGCGTCACACTAACATAACCATTGTTTCAACCATATCGCTCTACGCTGTACAATTTCCACAATCTATTTCTATTTACCTAAAGAGGTGTCCCAAATTCGTGTGGAGGATCAAAGCAAGTCCAAACAAATAACCATAATGTAAATCATATAAATCAAACAATGAAAGCAAGTAAATGTGATCTAACCCTAAGGTAACCCCACTTTAAGAATTTATCTCCAGCAGATTCGCCAGTTCTGTGATACGGTGGAAGAACTGACTTGAGGTTTTGCGTTTGTGTTTGCAAATGTTGTGGTTTAGCAAGAGTCGCCACCAAATTTTATTTTGTCCAACGAGGAAAGGTGAAAAAGCACAGGAAATACCTTTAGAGTTGTTTTCTCGGGTTTGGGGGGGGGGGGGGGGGGGTAGATTATGAAAAGGGAAGGTGCTAGCACCCTTTTCATCCATGGTTTTCCATGAGCTCTTAGTTACTCGCTAGATCACTTGCTTTTGTTTGAGTGTGCTTTGTGGTGTGGGCTTTGAAAGTATTTTGAAAATATCTTTGTAATGGTTCTCGTATCTATAAGAATGCGTACAAAGTTTTTGTTTTGAAAGATATTTCAAAGACGTGTTTGTGGATTGTGTTTTGGAAAGTGGTTTTTCGAAAGATATTTTGCAATGTTTCTCGTCTCTATAAGAACGTATACAAAATGTTTCATCTTTTTGAAAATGTTTTTTGAAATGAGAGTGTTGGTGTGTAAAAGTGTTTTTGTCGTGAGTAGGCGAGTAACTAGGAGAGAATCTACCTACTCGAAAGGTCTTAGGTGTTCATTTTTCCTTCTCCTTTAGATGTGGCTATCTTACCATTGTTTTGGTAAGAAGCCCCATCGTTGGATTTGAACGGACGGGCATTGGGACGTTTGTTAGTCATAGAAGGCAACCCATGAAATGTTTTAGCAGTGTCGTTTTAGGGACTAGATCGTTTACCGAAGGCAACATCGAGGGTCATCGAGGGACTACGATCTTTTATCGAGGGTCTTTTCCTAAAACGTCCATGTTCGAGGGACATGACTATTTTTCCGATAGGCAATAAAGTGGGATTACCCTAAGGGTGCTCGTGTGCAAGTGTGATTAATTGCATGCAT